CGCAGGTCGGCTGTCCCGAGGCTGCTGCGGGGGCTCTGGGGCCCGGGGGGAGGCAGCGGAGCTAAATCCTACCCTCCGGGCCTCGTCTGACCGCAGCGGGTGTGGGACACAGCTCTGTCACCAACCGAGCAGCTTCGAGCAGCTCTAATGAGGAAACATGCAGCAGCCCTCATTAATTCTCCTTGAATCTTCGTCACATTTAACACAAAACCAGAGCAGCAAACATTATCTTACATTATTTTCTTTTTAAAACATATTTTCAAAGTATGGTATTGTCCCCTGTCCTGAAAATTAACCACTTGGGGCCAAGAATGGGCACTACATGTTAGAAATTACCATTCCATGTGGGGACATGAAGCCGACAGCCCCATAGCACTTAGAATAATAAAGTTGTTGTCTGGGGCTTTTGCCATTTGATGCAATGATCTTCAAAAAAAATACAGTAGCACCCTGGAAACACTTGGTTTTGTAGATTGTTACATATTGTTCTTGTGACTCCTACAGGTACTATAAGAACATGTCAGAAATTTCTAATTCAGTATAACAGAAGGCAGCTGCTGATGTTGTTGCAAAACTGTACAAATGAAGGTGAGTTCCCCTCCAGCTGCTCTCCTAAAACTTGGCCTCAATTCCTGGGGGTTTTGTAGGATATGCTGGGCCACTTCTGAATTCTGAGAAATGTTCCTTTCTTTAGAAGTTGAGCATATGTGTCCAGCATATGTGAAGGGATCAAGTAATGACTGTTGCTCTTCATTGCAGAGGAAAGACGGTGTGTACAGAAGTCCTTGTTGAGCTGTTGCCTTACAGAAGAGCAGTCTCAAAGTGGTGATGAGGAAGATGATGATGGCTCAGAGACAGACTGAAGGTTACTAGTTACTGTTCATCCCTGTCCTGTACTTGGTGTAATCAAGATGCTGCCAGTTGTCTTCCATGCTAAGCACGGCAGGGGACAGAAAAAGCATCTGCTCAAGTTTAGACTTCATTCCCCAATTCCAAGTGTTCTTAGATTTAAATCTGAAATAAAAACCCCACTGTTTTAATTAAGGAGGTAAATTGTCTGTTTCACTCCAGAAATCAAAACCACCTGCACTCCCTTAGGAGTGTAGCAGCTCACTGTGATCTTCATGCTGAGGTAGAAGTGAGTTTGGCAGTTGGCACAGACAAGGAATGTAGTTGTATTCCTTCAGTACAGAAAAAAGCCTGTTACTGTTTTTGACCTAAGTGCACCTGTGATCCATCTGGTTTTGAGTCACAAAAGCACCACTTACATACACAGGAGCAGAGGTTATCAGGAATGCAAGGCAGCAAGGCTCAACTCCATCCAATTCATAAAACATAGGTACAAGTACTGCTTAGATATTTATTAAGTTTACACCGATCAGTTACAGGAAAGTAGCATTGCTGGTATTATCTCCTGAACCCATAGGGAACCAAGATACAACCTGGACATGCTGTCCTGTGGAGACTGTCCCTGCAAAAGGGGCAGTCCTTGCCCACACCACTTCCCCTGTTCTAGTGCCTGTGAGGTGTGGAGGCAAGTTACCAGCTCCAGCTTTTCTGTCTCTCTTCCCAATGCAAAGAAAAGTTGATTATAAACATGTAGAGATAATAGAACACAATGGGTGCTGGTTAGACACTAAGTAGTCACTCCTGTTCCATGGCTTTAAATGACTATAGCACTGTGAGTGCAGGTAACTACATACTTAACTCTTTCTTAGTTGCTTTCTCTGCCCTCACCAAGAATTTGCCAGTGTGCGTGTAAAGCATTAACAGCAAGATGTGTTACCACTTCAGGCATCTTGTCTTAGTTTCTTTGCACTCTTGAAAGCTACACTGTCTTTCCATCAAGTGTAGTTAATTGTGACCAAGTGTGAACTCAAGCTGCCTCAAAGGATGTTTTGCAAGTGTTCCCTATATCCTCCTGTAGCAGTTGAAGCATTCATTCTATCCCTCCCCTTCTTCCTGGTGTGTGAGGTACACTCTGGTGCTGGCTTCCCATGTGCACACTGCAGTGCCTAGAGGAAGCACTTGGACAATATGGAGCCTGTTACTTTGAAATCAAGCACCAATGTGACCAACACAAACAATTTCAATAGGGACCCAAGCAGTGACTTCACCAGTGGTGCAGGAATCCCTGGCTTCAGCCTCAAACACAGCTTCCATGGTCAGACCAGTCAGTGTCAAAGGGAGAGCACAGCCACTTTTTGAGCCTGTGCAAATGCAGGCAGAGCAAAGGTGCAGGTGGGGCTGCAGATCACAGCAGACTCCCCAGTCTGGCACTGTTAGTGCCAGCTCCCTGGCATGAATTCTGTCAGTAGGAAGGTAAGAATTGAATCTGCAACAAAGTAGTATGTGCTGATACGACAGTCCAGGAAGTGTGCAGTACTGTAAGTGCATGTGCATACCATTTATTGCAACTGTTGGCCTTGACTGGAACATTACACCTAGAGTTCATTTTATTCAACAAAATCCACACCACTTAACTCATTAGCTCAAATCAAACCACAAGCAGTGCAGAATGTGACCACCCAAAGAAAGAGCAGGGAGGGGTCCAGAAGAGGCATGTCCATAGCCAGAGGTGCTTAGTGCAGATCAGCTTACATCCCAGAACCAAGTGGATACAGGCCCTTAGCCCAGTACAAGAGAACCCCCTTTCTCACTGGGGATAAAAGTTATCTACAGACTCCAGCTATCAGTTGTTCTTCAAATTCCAGAGCAGCCAAAGTCAAAACATCATTCAGGTAGCTACCAAGAGCCCTAGGGTGGAGTGTTAATTCTACATAATCAGGTTACAAAGAATGTGTAGCCCATAAGTGGCAAAAAAATAATAATTAAAAAAAAATAGCAGCCTCACGCACCCACATTAAAACAGATTTGAACAACTGAGAAGCCAGGAGGTTCCTTCTACCACTAGTGCCAGTATGCATTTTGAAATACACAAATTCAAGAGTCACTTCAAAACCCAAGTAGCCAATTTCTGCTTTACACTCACCTCAGCTTTGTATCTTTCCAAACCAGGAGAACAGGAGGAATTCTTGCTCTTTTGAAAAAGAACAGATGTAGCAGATAACACTCTAAAGCCAGGAAGCTCTTTTGCCCACTTCCAGTGCAGCGGAAACCAGTTTCACAAGACAGCAGTTTGACAGCTTAACTGAAACAACGCTACAGTCACAGTTGGGTGGATTTCTGCCCATTAATACTTCTAGGGAAATAAGGGCTCTCTGCCCCTTCACTTAGGTGATACTGCAGTATTCAGGCAGTGCCACACAGCTGTGAAAACTTTCATACTGTTTATTAAGCCAAAAGAACTGACTTGGCACAGACTAGAAGCCTTGGCTGATTTTTCTCTGGGTTGTTTCTTTCAAAACTTTGTTTCAGTATAAACTGATTAAGTAGTTGGAATTAAAAGATCTTACTTCAACATATACGGTCCTGGTTTCCTCCTGAACCCCCTAGAAGCCCTGGAAACACAAGTTTAATCTGTTCAAATTTAAATACTTAAACTATAGCAGCAAAACAAAGCAAAATGAAAAGAAAACCAGGAGAGGAACTTCTCTTGAATAGCAGAATCACTTTGTGTGAACAACAGAGGTGCTGAACAACAGCTTCTGCTTCTGTTTCTTTCTTTTCTTGCCTCCCTTTTCCTCTGTGAAGAATTAAAATGATACTGTCATTTCTTCCCATGGAATAGGAATATCACACAAAAATGATAAATGCTCTTCACTAGCCTTAATGACTTCTACAGGTCTGTGACACTTCCTATCAACTCACTGAGCACCAGATAATTAATTTTAACATAAAAATTACTGCAGATAAACTAAGGGAGACCCATCACATCTAAACCACACCTACAAACATGCTGAAGTGATTCTAAAGTTGGTGTTATAACTGCAGATCCTAGGACTGCAAACATGCAGCACTTTGCCTCTAAGGCAAGTATTGCTTTCATCCATGACCAAAACCCACCACCACTGGAGTTGAAGCACTACAACCTCAATTTCACTGAACATCCCAAGCCCTCCCATCCAACCCTCTCCACCATTCAGTGCAGAAGCCAAAATTAAAAGTCAGAACTAAGCTTATAAATTAGTTTCATCAAACAGCATCAGATTTGAAATTTCACCTTGACATTTTGGTCAGACTCAAGTGGTAGTTTAGCAGCTCAGGTATTTTTAGTTTACAAGTGCATAGCCTGAACTTCTTTGAGATAAAACTTGAATTAAGCTCCAGCAGAAATATAGCAAATATGTTTTTCAAAACTCATCTTTGTCCTATCAGGTTTCTTTGCTAGTTGGAGATCATCTCAGCTCCCACTAAGAGCTGCTTTAAGCTAACAGAAGCCCTGGACAAGCTGTTCAGAAACACAACCTGACAATTTTCAGAACTGTTCTGCAGCCAATTTTTGGTCCCCAAAATTGCTGGTCTCACTTCTCCCAGAGGAAGAAGGGGAAAGACTCTACTTTTTCACTTCAGAAATTGTTGATGCCTCCCCCCTTTACCTGCTAAGGGGTCAGCTGTGGACGGTTTGTCCAGTTTCAGGAGGGCTGCCTCGATAGCCTGGCTGAAGGAATTCTGGAAGCTGGGCACAGGGATTCGGTCAGAGCTGTCACTTTCTCCATCACTATCCACTGGCACAGGGAGTGCCAGGGTGCTCTCATCTGAAAGAAGGAAAGGGTCTTGAGAACCAGAAGGCTGTATGAAACTTTTGCAGTGCAAATGCCCTTCTACACTACAGGTGTTTCTTGGGACGTTACAAGATTTCTTAGATTGAGATGCACGGTAAAGAACTTGAAATAATACCAAATTTTCTTACCTCTTGTCTTTGGAGCAGGTTTGGGCCATGTTTCTGGTTTTGCCTTTCCAACTCTCAACATCTACCAAAAGAATTGTAAGATATTATTAAATCCCATGTACTAGCACAATCCTGCATAGCCCCTAAGTGGCAAGAAAACCTAAGAACCCCTGCAAACACTCAGTGTTGTCTCTGTAAGATTTATCCAACATTGTTTTTGTGGAGGAAGAAATTGTGTTCTTGGACTAATCCCCAACTAAGACACAAGTAATTCTGGCAAAATTTACTCTGCTATGTGGCTTACCTGGGCAAACGAAGGAAAGGGAGACTCTTCTTCTAAACTCCCACAGAGCAATGGGCTGGCCTGGCTGGCAGCAGGTGACACTGGAGTTGGAATAGACTCTAGAGAGATAGCAGCAGATAATTAGAGCCAGCTACACTTGGCAGAGGCACTCATTATGTTGCCTATCAGGATGAAACAGCAATAAAGTTTTATTATTTTATGCATTTTGCCATTTTTATCTCATCAGTTCCATCCATTAGTCACATAGAGAGACCTCTCAAACTCACTCAACCTTTTCATTTAATGACAATTTCAGTTTGGGGGGTTTGGGCTTTTTTGTTTATTTTGGGATGTGTAGGAGTTTTTTGGGAGAGGGTTGGGTTTTTTTGTGAAAAACATTTAAGAATAATTTCTATTTCATATTTTTATGAACTGCAAGATGAAACATTTGATAAAGCATCACTGGACAACAGTGTAACTGAGTATTCTTCAACTATGTTTTCTTTTAGTATAACATGGTGGGGAAGATGGAGGGGGTATCAAGAAAAAATGCCAGTAGCATTTTCCTGGCATAAAGACTTTTCTTCCCTTTTTTGGGATTTTTTTTTCCTTTCTTCTGCCTTAGCAAAGATTAAAAAGATGGTGTAATTACAGTGCAAATCTCATATTGTCAAGTAAATCTTGCATTGTGAAGCAGAGGTAGTAAAAAGTAAACAAAGGACCAGAATGTTTCTTAGCCATGCCAGCCTTTTGTGTATGATGTAGGCAATCTAGGAAAGAAGCAGGGTTTTTATCAGTATTAAGGGAATTTAGTGTGAAGACCTGAGAAGTAGATCCCAAAAGAATGATCAAGAGCCAGATGTGCTGTGTTTTTCCAGATGCTCACCTGTCTGGAACACAGGGCTTCTGCCAAGAGGAGACAGACAGAAGCTCTGATGATCAATGCTGGTAGTTTCTCCAGGGCAAGAGGTAAAAGCAGGAAACTGCTGCAGATTCTCCAAAGCAATATGGACCTCTGGATCTAGAAAGAGGTTTCAAATTAAAGTACTACACAATGTGGGGGAGGACTGTCAATATGCAAGTTGTTTCAGAGTCTAGGAGGTACCAATTCAACGTTCTGTCCACTCTATTTCACAGAGCAGTACAAACCCTGCTGCCGGATGGAAGCAGTTCCTAGGCACTTTTTTTTTCTTCTTCTTCACTTTTCACTCTATATAGTGATTATTATATAAACAGAAACTAAGAAACTTGAGGCCTGTATACACCACAGAGGTAGCTGTGCCCTCAAATGCCCTGTCTCTCCCATAACGTGCAAGTCTGAAGCAATTGTGTAACATTATTTAACATCCTGACTAAAACAGCTTATATTTTTCACTCCACAGAGGTTGTTTGTAATACCTTGTAATCTTTATCTAAGTGCATGCTGCAAACTAAAGGCTTTAGAGCTCATCCTGTAGCTCAAGGCATCAGCTCAGCAACTACAGATGACTGGAAACCCACCAGTTATGCTCACTCATGACTTACATTTGCCTTGTTTCTTGTTTTCCTCCATCTCAATCCTGCGCTCACGTCGTCGCTCATCACGCGCTTTCTTCTGACGCAGACGTCTCCTCTTCTCAAGGTCATCTAGGAGCAATGCACAGAAGTGGATGTGAAAAAAAGCCACACCAAGACCTAGGCAATGTTTTCTCCAGCTTTGAGAACAACATATTCAGTTCTAACGCATTAGTAACAAAACATGCTTAGCAAACAACATATGCCCTTTTAAATAGTCAGTCTTTTTTATTCCGTGTGTAATTGTTGTCTATGAAAGAATGAATTGGGGTTGTTCTGTCATCAGGCAGCTGGTGCAAGAGGAGCAAAGCTGCTCCGTGTGTTCTTTCTTCTGCCATTATGGGGTAAGAATGACTTCTCCTTCACACTCAGGGATATGTCACTAGAAAGGCAAAACCCACCTGCAAACAACTCTAAAGTCTCCTTAGAGATGACTGGTGGTTTCAGAGCCAGTTCACAAATGCTGAACTCGCAGGTCAGGGGCAGATGACAGAGGTAGCGGTGACGCTGTCTTATATCCTGATAAAAGAGCAGGTATGTCATCACAACAAGGCCTAGAGGCTGTCACAGTGAGGAACAGCTTATGGAGATAGAACGCCCACTGTTTCAAGCAGAATACTTCTTCAGGTTAAGATGATCATCAGTCTAGCTCAAGCTACTGTCTCACATGAGAAAAGAACTTACATTTTTAAAGACATCTTTAAAAACAAACCAATCTTAAGCTCACAATTCTCTTACTTCTAGACTTGCTACCTTCTAAAAAAAACCAAAAAACAAAGCTGGACTGCAGCCTGTTTACCACAAGCAGCACAAGGTGCTGCACCTTGCACAGCTTAGCACACCTAACCATCATAGTAATGACTTCCTGTTACTGAAGATAAACAAGTCTCATCTGTCTACTACAATGATCAATCTGCTAAAACAAGGGCCCTAATGAATAAGAAGCTAAAGTAACTACCTCTGTCATGGAGTAGCCAGTTATTTCCACTACAGCTGCAGTTATCTTCTCTGGACTCTTCTCCAAGCTGCCATATTCACGAACAAGGCATCGAACATTCACAGGGTGAAGATACATACACTGTCCGTCCTCCGCTGTAAGATAAGATACCATCACTTGTTCTTTGTTAATTTCTAATACCCTTCTCTCCATCTCAGTACGTTCTCCAGTAATAAAATTAACCCTCCTTTCTGAGTTTCTGTGGGACTTCTATTTCACAGGGGTTAGCTGCATCTAATGAAGTGACAAACATATTCCTCAAAAAGGATGCCAATCTCTGCCCCTACATGTCTAGGATTTCATTGCACCAACCTTGATAGAAATAGTAAAAAGGAGAGTTGCTAAGATGTCCACTGCTAGTTGTATCTTTAGATTCCTGGTAGCTTGTATCAGCTGGATGTGGTTCTTCTGTCATGTTCATATCAGGTTCTGCTATGGTGTCCACCTCAGGTACTTCCTCTTCATCCAGCACTGCCTCTTCTCCTTCCACAGGAAGTGAAAAGGAACTTGCCAGATCTGAGCCAGGCTCCACAAGCTCCTCATCGAATGCAGAGAGATATTCCACACCACACTATCACAGCAGAAAGCATACAGTTAGTACCACATCAGCTCCTTTGAAAGATCTCTGCAAAAATCTTTGGCATCAGTGCACCATAATTGTGCCACTTGGCACCACAGCACCAGTATTAACAAGAGCTGCCAGAGCCGAGTTGTCACCTACCTTTTTTTCTTGGGAAGCTACAGGCTCCACAGCCTTGGAGCTTTCTAGGACCAATTGTTCCACAGCTGCATTGATTCCAGCAATGCCATCTTTTTTATCCTGGTCAGTAGAGAGTCTTGTTTCTCGCTCCTACAGACCATCCAAAAAGAAGTTTCAATTTCCTATTCAACCCAGGAGACTATCACCACAGTTATTTTTAACCTTAAAGTATACTTTAGGTTTCCCTAGATCTATAATTCAACTTTGACAAAGAGTGCACCTTGAACAGAGGTGAACTCTTTCTTGTTACTGGAAAGCACACCCATTGTAGGATGCTTAAAGGCTTTGAAAAGGAATGTTCTACAGGTTTGCTGATACAAGTTATCTCAGAAATTGCTGGACCTGAAAGGGAAGCACATTCTCCTTTGAAAGCAAAACTCCTCAACATTTACAGAAGGAACACCATTCAGTAAAAAGCATTCTGTTGTTATCCTGAACATCATACCAGAGACTTGGGGTCCAAAAGCTGTAATTTCCTCCAAGATTCACAATGCTATTCTAGCAACAAACATCATCACCTTGCATATGTGTATGTCCTGGAGACCAGAATAATCACGCACAACCACTTTAGCAGCAGAACAGAGATGCAGAACAGTCAGCACACTCCAAGTTACTAAAAAACACCAAAAAGGTTCTCACCTTCAGTTCCTGGATAGCTGCCTCAATAAAGCAAGCCTCTGGGGTGTGTTTCTCTTCCTCATACTGTTTCAGTAATGCTGCTTTCTCCTCCAGTATCACCAGCTGCAAGACCTGCTCCCTGGATGCCAGAAGCAGCTTTGAATACTGACTGTGCAGGTCATCTGAACAGAAGAAGCACCAAATCATTAATATCCACTGGCAGAGGCACCAGTTTGGATTGCTGATTCTTCTGAAGTTTCATTACTGCTCAATTTTGGGAGTTAGTCCACCCAGGGCAGACAATACTTAGAAAGAGTTTGATACAGACTCCACAAGTGACCATTATATAATTGATAACATGAGCTCACATGCCTGCTCTAATACACACATCACAGTTTGTAACAACCAGTTTGCAAGCCCATATGTATTAAAAATCCATACAAAAATTATTAGGAGGTTTTTACAAGAAGCACAGCAGAAAAAGTAAGCTAAAAAAATACACGTTTAGCAAAAGGCAGTCATCTTTGTTACTAGACAGATTATCTTAACTATAAACCTCACAGCATCACATACTAGTACAGTCCCTATACTCACTGTTCCCCAAGGGTCCAAACTTGTCTGTAGAACACAAAGTTAATGCTGCATTTCCTGGGTTTAAAATTATCGAAAATGCCATATTTGTTTATTTTGTTTCATGAAAGGATTTAAAGTCCTTCCCTTTCAAATACTGAGGAACATACGAGCACACAAGCTACATGCTGGCTACCCTTCATGTGTTAGGAGACTTGACTTTTTACAGAGAGCTTAAATGCACGAAGCCTTTCCTAAATGTGACTGCAAAATTACGTGAGCCAAGACAGCCCACAAACCAGCAATGTCAAGTAAAATTATTTCTTTAGTCACAAAATTATGATGTGTTAGTCACATTACTTGACTGGAGAAAACTGAAGAAGTCAGGCAACAGATGTTTGGAATAGGTTTGCAGTAACTTTGATTATTTTCCCATATCATTCACAGATTTTAGTTGGTAAGTGAAGATGATTAAAGCCTTCTTGAAGATTGCATCCTTGGAATAGTTTAAACACAGAGACTGTTATTTTTGCTAAGCTGTATAGTGAGAAGCCAGGAGGAAAAAAAGTGGAGGACACTGAGGAGCCAACAAAAGCAGCAAGAGTCACACCAATGACTGTAGAATACAACACACGTCACATGAATACCAGTGATTGAGAAGGCAGGAGTTTACAGTGCGAGGGAGACAGCACACAGGTTAAAGCCTTTCAAAGACCAAAAGTGTGGGTAGAAAGGCTATTATTATGTTGTGATTAAGGTTTTCAGGGGGTAAACCCCATGCTTTGAAGTCTGGTGTATTTTAAGGTGACCACATGACACTGCAATGGTAAATTCTCCCCATGCTGGCCCTCGTCCCAGCTCAGAGCAGGATTCCAGCCACCAGTGCTCAGACCCACTCACCTCCAATGCAAACAGGTTGCACCACGTTCATCCACTGAGATTTGGGCAGTGCTGTCAGAACGCCCTTCTCTCTTCTCATCAGCTGCATCGTAATGATATCACCAATTGCATACTGACGTGTTTCCATAGCAACGACACTGCAACACATGGAGGAGGTTAGTAGGGCAAAAACAATGTTACAAAAAGATGCATAATTTAATAAATACCAAATCTCACCTCTTGAGGTCCTTCTTGTGAACAGAGCCATAACAAATAGGACATTTACTCCAGGTCTTTTCACTCAAGGAGAGATAGTGAAGGATACATGCCCAACAGAAGATGTGCCCACAGCGGGTGATCTTTGCTGCGGTTGGTGGGTACAGACAGATTGGGCAGGAGGGCACTTCATGGCTACAGATTCGCTGAAATGGCACATCAGAACAGTACAAGTTTTAGACTTGGAAATCAGTTCCTGTGCTACAGAATAAGCCAACTGTAAGATCTACTCTAACATGTTAATCTTCCAGCTCTTTAGGCTCTGCCTGTTTACCAAGAAATTAAGTGTTCATAGTGTGAACACCTTCAGACTGCACCTTCAAAGCCACCCATCTGGTATTTCTACTCTAGTGATATTTAAGAAGTGACTCTTCTAATGTTTCCCATCATGTATTTGAGTTCTTATAGTTCCATCACATAAGAGTTGGCAGCATCCTCATCATCCCAATTCAGACACTTAAGACAGCAAACAAGCCCTGTCACCTCCCTGCACAAGCAGACTTGTGCAGCCCTGTTTAACTGCCAGACTGAACTTACCTATTTCCATGAATATGCTAGTTTAGTCAGACACTTCGTTAGCATCTGTATGTTGCAGAGACAGAGCTGCCACACAAGATGTAGACTTTCCAGCTCTCTTGCAGAGACAGGTAACAGTAAAGCCTCCCTCCACTCCAGCTACAACGTGCACCAAGACTAGTCTTGCCTGATAATAAGTTTCTACCTGAGGCAACCCAAACTTCTGACCAGTTCTCAAAACATTTTTCACTTTGTTGCTAGGCAAGATGGACCACCTATGCACAGAATTATTCTTCAAAACACTACACTCCAGTCCTCTTCCATGGACTTGTGCCCAGGTTTTGTGTTAATATCTCAATCACAAGGACTGTCTACAGAATGTCAGATACTATTTTTGATGAGCTCCCATCTGCGAAAGCAAGAAGAAGCTGCTAATTTTCCTAATAGATTTTAGCACTTCTGTTTCCCTGTCATGAAAGCATTTCATAATATATTCCATGACAGATCTTTCCCAGTATTGTGGGAGTGACAGAAGAGGCCTCAACTCAAAAACAGCCAAATTTTACTTAACATCACAGAGATAAAGAGGCAGTTAAAGACAGGTTGAGCTTCTTAAGAAGAATAATAAAAAAAAAAATCTAGCCCATCACAACTGACCACTTGCTCCACATAGTCCCAGTTGACCAAGGTATCTGGATCAGCAAAGTGGACTGTGTAGTCCTGTTCTTCAGAGACAACAAACTGGCAGCTGGGGAAAGGCAAAGAGACAGATGATCTACTCAGTTGTTTCTAAAAATTCTTTGAGAACAATCCTATAGGATTCTCTGAGCTTCTTCTTTGTCCAGCAGAAAACTACTGGATGCAGTCAGTAAACTACTAACAAAAAACAAGAGAGTTTGATTCACAAGCAGATTTCCAGAATGCAGATGTGTCTATTTTCAGTTAGACACAACATCACATACTAACTACAGAATGAGCCAGATTGAGTGGTTTTCCAGAAACGTGTATGGAATAGATCCACTGGGGAACTATTAAAAAACAGGGAAACCACAATTGGAAAAAAATATGGTCACAAAAACTGGAACCACTGGGGTTCCTGTGAATAGGCTTCACTAAAAAAAAGCACCAAAAAAACCTCAGGGAAAAATCAAAAGCATCAATGCTGAAAATAGCTTTTATTATCTTTAACATGATCAAATACTGAACACACTGCAAAACCTGGTGAAAGTGACTAGTATTTCTCCTGCTGGATTACTATGCCAAACATCATCTGGGTTATACTCCATACCTAGGGGGCTGTGAAATAAACTGCAGCTTAAGAATTAGGACTCATATGAGTAATTGCTTCAGGGACTTATAAACTCTAATTAGCTTTCATCCAGCAACTGCGACCCCTACTATCTCAACGTACTATTTTTTGGAAAGAACAACTGTGTTCTGTAAGGCAACTGCACAGGTCTTCTCAAGTGGAGTGTCATATCCCAGAAGTGATGCCAGAAAATTAGAGCAGAAGACTAACTGGTTTGTAACTAAAGGACTCACTCCATCAGGTACCTTGTAAATAGGCAAAGACAACAACTTAATATATTTTTATTCCTTTCAAGTTTGGTCATTGCCACCAGAAACACTACGGAGAGGCAACTTCGCCCTGGAAAAGTCAATACAAGTAGTCAAGGTCAAACAATTCCCTGGCTGATCATCCCTCACAGCTCAGAGCCTCTGTAGAAGTCTAAGAGCCCTGCTGGTCTTCCACTCACTTGGCCTGTAGAAAGAGCTCCTTGTTGAAAGGCTTATGTCCCCACTTGTTCCTTTTCCCCCAGTTGCCATGTCCATTCCCATCAAAATGGCCTGCTTGGCCACGGGGTTCAAAAGTGAAATTCAGTAAGTGGTTGAGATTAATCTTCTTGGGACCAGAGAACTGGGCAGGGCTAAACTCTGCCCGTCGAGCCTCTGCTACCTAAGAGACAACAGCATTTGTTAGAAATTGCTAGAATTTACTGCAAAAGCATCAGTACAAGTTGACACCCAGACCCCACCAGTGATTATATACAGAATATGCAGCATCCACTCACTCACCTTCTCCCATTCCAGTTCTGCAAATCAAGCAGTGCAGCGTTAGAAGTGCATGAGAACCTGAAAGTTAGAACTGAGTGGTCTTACCCCACACTGAGCAAAAGGAGAGCATAAAAACAACCTGCATAAGGATAAGTAAAAGCTAGTAGTCAAGGTTAATAACAGAAGAATGCTGATCAAATCCTGACAATATTCTTGACAGCCAATAATACAAGTCTTGTTGCTGTTTGCACAGGTTGTACTTGTTTTGGTTAGTTTTCATATAAGGAAGCAAAGAATGAGAGTTCAACAGAGACTGCAGGCGAGTTTTGACAAGAGTCAGCAATTTGGGTGAGTATCAATGAAAACTCAGTATTAGTCTACAGTATTTAGACCCACATCAGTATAAAAGCCTCATTCTGGCTTTACTCCACCTCAATGTCACCAAGGCTAATAGGATTACTTTCCCAATACCACTATTACAGGCAAATTTGTACACAGAAGTGTTTAGACACAGTCACCTTAGACTTAAAAGCTAGAAACAAATCACTAGGTATTTTCATGAAGGACCTCTCTGTTTCATGAGGTCTGCACATGGCCTGTCTAGGTACCCATTCCTCAAACGGTATATTTAATTGCAAGTCTCTCAGAGCAGAGAGCACTCCTCTTCTGTTGTTGCCAAGTTGATCAGCACAGACTCACTCTGGCATCTCAGCGATGTTAGCACCTCTTATCACTCTTACCCTTCTCAGCCCAAAAAATCTTTCCCTTCTCAGCCCAGGAGCTGAGCACAGCAGACCTATCTAGGCAGGTCAGAGTGATCCTCTCGTCCCAAGAAAGAAGGCCTTGGAGGCAGGGCATTACAATTCTCACCTCATCTCGTCTTCCACCATTACAAGAGCTAAAAAGTTTGCCACTTCCGCCACTGCCTCCCCTTTGAGGGGGCATCTTGTTAAAAGCTTTGCTTTTCTGTGAATTGGAGCGACGGGACTGGCTGGAAAAGTTCTCATTTTTTGAATATGAAGTTTCTCTTTTACGATTATAACGCTGCTTGGATCCATTCCCATTCTTTCCATCTGAAAGAAAAAGAAAACAAACAAGCCAAGAATCAGCTCAGCAGCCTCAGAGTTGCCCACACACACTGCACCTCAGCTGGCTTTGCCTCAGAGCGCAGCTCACCTCAGCCACTGCCCTAAGCCCTGGGCATTTATCAGGACAGCAAATCCCCTCAGCAACACAAATTGTTTCATCCTTATCACTACCCAAAGAACTGGTCAAAGAATATAACAGAAGGAGGTATTTGCTGTGCTTCATCATTTATTAGAATGGCTGCATTTTCTTTATCCAGATTTGGAATGGCCATCACTAGAAATGGGTGTGTTGCCAAGCACGTAAAGTGATAAACACCAATACCACTTCTTCATGTCCCATTACAAAAACAACAACTAGTTCATTTTTTCAATTCAGTTTTCTGAAAATATGAAATTTATCATATATTGTTTCCTTATACAAATATCCTGCAGCCTGCATTTGTCTTGAAGTCTCCCACTTTCCAAGCCCCCATTCCCTGTTTTCATTCAGTTCTGCTCCCTATGCTTAAAAGACTCCATCAGATGCAATCCTGTTTTCAAAAGACCCTTTTATTTCACAAGGCCAGCAAATGCTCATCGATTTTGAAGCACAAATCCAATGCTTTGGCCTTGCAGGACACATACCTAATATCTGAGTACTAAGTCCACCAACCTATGACACATGAACTGTTCACCTGAGAGCATGATGAGCGCACCACTGACCCTAACACAAAGCAAAGCAGTGAAGCACAAAGCAAAATACTTCAGGAATAAAGCTCACAAGAGCAGAGCAACCGGTCAGGCTCTTAAGAGAGGTCTCCTGTGTCTAAACAGCTGCCTGATTAGACTGCTAGAATGGAAAATTCTTACTATGAAGATATTTCTAATATTCTTAACACAAGATCACAGATGCCAAGGACTCAAAAGACTGCTTACCTGTCACCTGACCTAGCATCTCCTCCAACTGCCCTAAGGTTTATCTGTAGAAGTGATATGTTGATAAGCTAGGAAGCAAAATTCTGCAGGCCCAGTGAAATGTCTATCCACTCCAGCCAGCCCCAAAGTCATTCTGGATACTCAAGAAACCCTATACAAACAGTAACACCCCATACAACATCTAGACCCATTTTGTAAGAGCCTACTAGTTTTCCTTTTCCCACTTTGTAGTCCTCCCCACCCTTAGTATAAATCTGACCATTTCTCATACAGGCAGCTCCCAATGCCAGTGTTTTATTTTCCCCTTCTCTGGCACTACTTCCAGTCTACTTGAGCATTTAAAACCACTGGAATGGGATCTTTCACATCAAGGCTAACTTTTTAATTTTTTTCTCTCCCACCTGCACCCCCAAAAAGAGAGGTGCAGTGGTCTGAAAGGTCTGTGTGTAACTGTACATGTCTGAGGATTTCGCTCCTTAAGAATAAGTACCAGAAGCGGCTTGACTGGGTTTTGTGGTGATCTGCTCTTTCTTGCACATGGTAGACCTCAGTCTTTGCCTGCAACTTCAGCTATAGAAGTAAAATGACACTATCATTACTTTCACACAATGTGACAGAGCCATTTTGCAGACAAACTCCATCACCAGAACGGGTCATTTACTCTGCTATTCAAAAGGCTGATCCTTCAATTCAGAATTAAACCAACTCCATCAGAACCACAGATGTGTAACTCAAACACATGCTCACATAGCTTCCAATGTTATAAGGCACATCAGGCTAGAAAGACAGGAGCTGAGTGTTATCAGGAAAAAAACAGACCAGAAGCTGCCAAGCACTGAGGGTGTGACCAGCTCTGGCTGAGTGATTACTCAGACCTTTTTCTGAGAGTTTCTAGGGAAAAGGCTATAATCAACACCACGGAGTCTCTGGTAAAAATATAAGTAATTCTGAAGAGTTCTGGACTGCTACTTCAGCTATTCAGGAGCAGAGAACATCTAGTTTAGAGCTCAACCACCCTCTCCAATCTGCAATTTCAGTGAAAGTGTTAGAGGGGCACATTTCCGTTTTGTCTATAGCAATTTTGCAGTTTCTCTGCAATCATCAAGTGTGGAAAATAAAACAACTCAAGTGGAGAAGTTCAGTCTAAAGTGGATCACAACAAGGGCCAGGAACAAGGAACTGTTTGTACCTGCAGCTGACAGAAGTATTTCCTACTACTTAAGAGTTTTAATCAAATTAGTCACCATCAAATTTGTCAGCCAGCTGGTCTATACACATTCCTGTCATACTACAGGTCCTTTCAAACAAATTCCTGGAGACTTTGGGAGTCACTATAATGATTCTTCCCTTGTGGAGCAGCAAGCCCTGATATCTGTGGTTTCTCCACTGGATGCTATGTTCTGTTAGAGGACCTTGATCACCAAAGATCCAGAGAGAGATCAAATTCTCAGGACTAAAGGCAGCTCTAGACAACCACTTTGCTCCTGGATCTGCAGCACTGGTTTGCTGCTGGGGTGAGACCTGCAGTTTCCTTCCATCTTTCTTTGCCTCTTTTCAGCTGAGCCGTGCTGAAGCCATATTGCACAAGGGGTTGCACATTTAGGCTGCAGGGTGACTTCATGAAAACAGACTGAAACTATTGCTGCTGTGAAGGCAAACACCCCAGTGAGCAAGAGGTGACAGAGCAGTCACACCCCAGCTGGGCACGCTCACTCCGCAGTAAGGAGGCAACCCAGGAATGTCTGCCAGAACTAATGTCCTGCAGGTCTCCAGGACTGGAGAGAAACCCAACACAAGCCTCTTCTCCCTGAGCTACTTCACTCCATCCTAATGGGATGTGGCTCCTGTTGGTGGGCTAATATAACACAAATAAAATTTTCTGGTGGAAACTTCTTTAGTTCCTAAGGTCAAGTTTGGAAGACAGCTGGAATCCAACCTCCACAAGTACAAAAGCTCACAGTATCCTGTTTAGGCCTTGGTCTTCAAGAAAGATTTATTTCTTTTAATTAAAAGTTAGCCTATTGTATCAGAGTAGAAGTGTATGGTGCATCAGGATTTCCCTCCTCAGCGTTCCTCTGCTAGAAGTGACATACCTTCAAGCCTGTAAAAGGTTGTTTTCCACAAAAATTACTTCATGCTTTTACTCTGGGCTGGAATGACAGGCCTTTTATTTCCTGCCTTACTGAAGACACTGTTTCTTCTACATGAAGGCATAGTAGCCAAAGGACAGGCCATCCTAACTCCTTACTGAAGGATATTTACATTCTGTGAACAATTCTCCATGCAACATCACACATCACCAAAAAAGAAGCTGTAGTGATGAGGTCTTTCTTAGTACGAAAAGGACAGAACCAAGTTTTCCACAACAGGAAAAACTGCAGGTCTGCTAGCCACTTCTATTCCACCAGAAGCCAAAGATCTGGTTCTAAACCTCTTGTTGCATACCTAGCATGTGATGTTCCCTGCTTCCAGAAGCCTGCCCATGAGAGGAGAAAAAAAATATGTAAGAGACTGAAAAATAACAACAGTAGTGAGGGATAACAGGGCTGTCAGATCAAATCCTGTTGCCAAGGAAAAAAAAACAACTTTCCAAATCAGGTGTTCTTCCAAAAATGACTGCCTACAAAGTTATTTTCTGTGTTTGGATTCAAAGTTAAAATGTCACGACAATCACACAGTTACACCACAAGCTGGGGTGGGTGAACCCCCTCCTGTATCCCTCACCACAGCCTGTCCTGAGAAGTTCAATTAATACAGCTGAAAAGCAGGCAATACTTGGTTACCCAGGATCCAACCACACTCAAAAGGTTCAAAAAGCAGTCAACATCTTCAAGTTAATAAGTTTGTTAACCCTCTGGAATACACTGCTGCTTCCTCAGAGACCTGAAGTAATGAAGCAGAAACAAACCACTAAGGAAGGAACTTAGGACATCAATGGTGTAGCAACCTGTTGACACTCTCAAATGCACTTGCAGGACTAAAAACATTAATTTTAATCACGACTGCCCCATTTCTAGGTTTTAGAGAAAGATGAGGGTTGCCGGGAACACTCTGCTCACAAACAGGTTAAGCAAACTGGAGGTGGCTCAGGTCTTACCTCGGAGAGAGGTGACAGGAACCATAATGACTCCTCCTGCACTGCTGTGTCAGCAAACCAGCTGTTTGCAGTGACTGACCTGACACTTTGGTTCAGCTGCCAGACGGGCAAACAACATGTATCTACCTCTGAGCTGGCTCCAAAGGAGGTTACTGAAACAGCCGGGCAGGGGGACCCTGGGTGTGGACACAAGACCTCCCTGGGCAAGATGTAACAAGCACAGCTTGAGCACGGAATAAAGTTAAGGTTTATTTTACAAACACTAGCAAACATACGTTCTTATTACAAAAGCAAACCTTTGGCTCTCAAGCTGATTACTCCAGTGCTAACGAAGATAAAGCATTAATCGCTAAAGGATGAGGAAAGTAGGAACCACAGCTCACCTAACAGATGAGCCGGAAGGAAAAAGAAAACAAAACCAAGCAGTGACCTGAAAGGAAGCCAATCAGAACCCAGCTGAGAGACAAACAACCCGACAAGGGGAAGTTCAGCTCCACCGCAACCCCGACCGGGGCACAGGCCCCCGGTCCCCGCAGCCTCTCATGGTTACCCCCTTCCTCCCTCCTCAGCCACCACCGCTGCGACCCAGCAGCGAGACCCA